CGGCGGTCTTCTTTTGATTGACGAAAACGATGATGGGTGGTGAAAACCCTCCATTGTTCAGGATCTCGACGAGGCGTTGTCTAGAGATGTTTAGTCATTACCCGGTCGGTTGTTTGGAGAATGTAAACTTACTTTTTCTTTTCCTCTCCGTGAACAAATTCGACCCTTTGTTCAACGGTGTCGACTGCACGACCAGCTTCACCGATAGTGATGGTAGCGGCCTTTTTCAAATATTTCCTAGCAAGTCTTTCCACGGCGGGAGGCATGGTGGCCGAGAACAAGGTCGTTACTCGTGTTCGTGCCTTGCTGTTACCGGATCCATCGATCTCCATTGCATTTTCACCTTTAAGAAGGTCACTGGGAAGAGCGTCTAGAATGAAGGTAAGATCAGCTTCGAATCCCAAGTGGACCATCCTATCGGCTTCGTCCATAACGACATAAGTGCACTGCGAGAGTACTAGGACATGTCTATCAATAACGTCTTTCAGTCGACCAGGAGTAGCGATGATGATCTCTGCTCCCTCTCGAAGATTGAACTGTTGTTCTTCTACCGCACGCTAAAAGAGAGATTTCAGCATCATATAAATGGGGCATCATCGAAAATACTTACTCCACCAACAATAGAGACACATTTGAACCCAAGTGGCGTCGCAAACTTCTTTGCTTCAGTCTCAATTTGTTGGGCCAGTTCACGAGTCGGTGCTAATATCAAAGCCAATGGGCCTAAGTGTCGATTGTCATCGTTGAGAGGCGGCAATTGGCTGATGTACGTCAACATGGGTATGACGAAGGCGGCAGTTTTACCGGAACCTAGAGGTACTATCAGTATTCAATAAGGTACACAAATCAAAGTTTCTTTCACCTGTCTCGGCAATGCCAATCAAGTCACGGTTTTGGAGACCAATGGGAATAGCTTGTCGCTGAATAGGGGATGGCTCCTTGTAACCAATAGTAGCAATGACATCTAGTAATTGAGGAGGTATCGAAGACTCCTCCCACGAGCGCAAAGGATACGGTATGTTTCCACCTAAATAGTCCATCAGAAATATTGCCAACTTGGCAGAAAAAAGTAAATATACCTCGAGCAGAAATGCTGAAGTCTTCTCTAAAGATGCGCCAATCTCGGTCTTTCATCTCCTCTATCGGCTTCTCCGACCAATGACGGTCATCCTTTCGTCGAGTCAACGATCCCGCAGGGTCCATGACCATAGCATTGGTAGGTCCTCCATTTGCAGAAGCAGGGCGCGGGAGGTGTGGCACGGACGAGTTCTCCATACCCGCTAGGTGACCGCGCCCAAACATGACAGCAGCCCCTTGTCGTTGACTACCAACAGCGGAGGGAGAGTCCATGGCGAACGTATCATCTTGTTCCGCCCAGTCGAACACGAACTTGCGGTCGCTTATTTTCCTTATGGTTCGCTTTTTCTTATCGACTCCGAGATAGCGTGAGCGGATGGCAGACAGCTCGGTGGCCGACATCCCTGTGCCATCATCCGCGCCACCATTGGAAGCGGGCTCATTGGAGGATGACTTTTGGTTACCAGAGGGAGCGGGAGGTGGTGCCATTTCTCCAGGACGGGTGAACTTGGGTGGGCCTTTGTTTCGGTCCGCCCTGGGACCTGTTGGGATCGGTCGTGAATCGCGCTCTCTATCATCTTGGTGGCGAGAGTCCTTGCGCCTATCATCATCTGTGTGTCATCGAAGAAGTAGGTCAGAATCACTCTTTGAGAGACTGAAAGATGAAGAAAATGACGCTTACATCGTGAACCCCGTCCGTCATTCTCTCTAGAGTCTCTTTCCTTGGCTCTATTGCTCGAACGATAGTCTTCTACATCTTTTCCGTTACGCCCATCTTGCTGGGCCGATGCCTCGAGTGCTTCTCGATTGGCTTTGAGACGATCCGCCTTTTCCTTTTCCTGTTGGATTTCTTGTTTTCTTCGCTCGATCGCTAGCTTTGCACGTTCTTCTTTTGAGAGAAACTTGGGCTATTGGATGGACGAGAGGCGCGAGTTTGGAAGATTGTCCAAGGACCGTATGGAAACCGCGTGTATGCGCATTGATTGGTAGTAGATATGATAATAAGGCATTGATAGCATGCGTTGAGGTATAGAAAAGAGGGGTTGATGGTCAGAACCAAGTCTCAAGAGGCTAAAGAAATGATGCAAGCAATACTTCACGTACAGACCTTTGAGGCGGCTTCCCTCTCCTCTTTTTGCTTTTGAAGTAGATCTTCGATAGAGATAGGTGTCTTACTCATAGTTGTCGACGCGTTGCCCCTATCCGGGCAATGTCGTGGTGGCTGCCAAATGACAACGTATAAATTGCAACTCCGCTTTCACGAACTGTGCCCGGTGCCGCCGTTCGTAGACGACTCTGTAGGGCGCCTCTATGTACCGAATATACATATAGAATTCGTTATAACTTATAAGTATAATAGAGAACACGCACTTGTATTGTAAGCGAGGAGTGGGCGAGTAGAGGCCAACGGACTTAGCCAAAAAAAAGATGCCGACGTCGAAGAGCCTCATAGTTGTTTCTCAATCGTCGCAAGACTTAGTTTCTTAAGCACACCGAACGTTTAATGGTGGAATATACAACATGGTCATTCCGAAAGAAACACTAGCTACAGTAAGGATGTGTATGGCCGTTAATATGAGACAATGTACGAGTGAAAGCGAAAGCGAGAGACTTCCTCGAAGCAAGCCCGCGCAACCATAAGGAAAATAAGCGACCGCAAGTTCGTGTTCGACTGGGCGGAACAAGAT